CAGGGATGGCAGGCACCTGGTCCATGAGGGGAGCTGGTTTTTAGACTGGCTCCTCTCACGGACCAGCTCCCACCTGGCACCGTGTGCTGCTGCCTCTGATACAGAGGCAGCAGAGCAGGGTGGCAGGGGGCTCCCCGGGAGTGGGGCCAGAGCGCACTGGCTTCCGGCCCTGCCCCTCGGGACTATAGAATAGTCAAGTAACCAATAAGAATTCATGTGGTTACTCAACTATTCTATTACCTGCTATCTAACATCCCTAATCTGACTATATTAGAGAAGTTGCTGATCAGTTTCCTAGAATATTATAGTGGAGTATCCTCTCTGATAAAGTTATTTTACAGGTGATTTTTGAGTGCTATAATATCCACTAACACTTGCATTGGCATGACTTTTCCTGTACTTTCTGGGGGTGTGAGGTGGGGCTAGTGAACCAAATGGGAGTCATTTCACCAAGACTTCTGACGAAGTGGGTCTTTGCCCACGAAAGCTTATGCTCCAGTACATCTGTTAGTCTATAAGGTGCTACAGGACTCCTTGTGGATTTCACCAAGAGGTTCCCAAGATACAGCATCCTGAAATAAAATGTTTTTATGTCACAGATACTGTTAACATTTTTTGTGCATACCTTGCTTCATAGGATGGCAAGGGAAGGGTGAGCTGGAAATGGTGGAGGGGCTATATGTTTCAGATCCTTACGCTACTGTAACCACTGTGTAATAAAACTCAACTTTTGGGAACATATATGTAACATGCATGAAACTTCTTTCACTGGCCCTATTAGCAGTTACATGCTCCTATTAGCAGCTTACATTTTTAGAGCATGACCATTATTCCCATTCCAAAATGGGAGGGGTAGAGGACGGGACCTTAGAAGTCACAATGGTGTGGTGTAGTAGAGAGAAGCAGGAACTGGGGTCTGAGACTCAGAAAACCTGGGCTTTGTACCTACGTCTGCCACTGGCCTGCTGGTAGGGATCTTAAAATGGTTAACCAGTTAAAATACTTGTACTTACTGGGATAACCATTTTAAATTAAGACCTGTTGCTGGATCCTGCCATGGCTGGGATTGCTCCAGCCTGGAGGAGTTCACTGGCAAGGGTTGATTAGCTGGTTGACATTCCTGCCTGCTGGGTGACATTCGCCAAGTTACATCATTTCTCTGTATCCGTTTCTTCATCTGTACCAAGGGTATGATGATGTTCCCTCTTTGGTAAAATGGTATTGAGATATACTGATAAAAAGTGCTATGTAAGAACTAGGTACTAGTCTTACCTAGCCATCTCTACTGCAGCTCTACTTGGTTATTAAAATTACCTAAATTAACATTGATCCTATCAATGACACATTTGTTTTGTATTTCTTTTTCATTTGAAAAAAATAGGAAATTCGCTCTTTAAAAAAAAACCTTAATTAACATAGAGTTTGTATATTGTGCCTTTCAAGAAGGTCAGTTTCAGCAAAATTCAGTATGTGTAAACCATGTACAGTAATTCAAACTCAGATGTCTGAAAAGCAGGAAGTAAGTAAGGAATACACCCACACAACCTTAACTCTCCCCTTCGTAGTGGGAATTATGTGCATGCATTCACTGCATTAGGTGTAGCTATAGTGAATGATGGAGGGATTAGTCAGAGCACTTTAGAAAAGCTCTGATAGTGAAATGAGAGGATCTAGAGCTCCGTGCCTTCCTAGTAGGGTGTCAATGCAAAGGAACGATATGCATGTATATCCTGAAAGAGCCAGTATTTCTCATTTCACTATTGAGTTGTATCAGTTCTGTCAGTAGCAGGGCATAGGTTGATGGGGGATGAATGTGATCTGTGGGTTTAATAATAAAAGCAATGTTAGATGGCATTAGGCTGAAGAGGTGATACATTTTAATAGATGAGGTGTTCTTTAAATGGTGTAGGCTATGCATCTAAATGTATAGCAGATGTAGATAGCTCCTTTTCAGTACAGTGCAAAGGAGAATCCATTAAAGTGTTGTGGGCATGTTGGCACATCAGTCATAGAGGGCTAAGTTAGGGTTACATGGATGTGTGCCTAAACTCTGATATTCCCGCTTTTCAAAAGTTTGAAGCCCCTTAATGGAGTTCGTTATGCTCAGCCTCCTCCCCACAAGCCAGGCAGGAAAGGGCCCTTGTGAATATTATACTCAACACTTCATTTGCTAACACGGTGGCTCCCAAACTTTTCAAGGATATGTACCCCTTTTCAATCTATTAAAATTTTACGGAACTCCCTCTCCCCCCGCAAACAATATAACTGTTTCTGCAGCCTGCACATCCCTCAGCTCATGCTGCTTCCCAAGCAGCGTCCCTCAGTTCTCTGGAGAAGTAGTGTGGGCTGAAGAACAGGCTGGCGTCCCCACATTGCTTCTCAGTGTCCCCACGTGGCTTCCTGCAGCTTGAGAACCAACACAGGTTGATGGATGTGCTGGTTATGAAAGGCTCTAAGCAAACCCCCTACAGTACTGCCGCATGCCCCCACGAGTCCATGGACCACAGATTGGGAGCCTCTGTGCTAACAGTTTAGGGAAGAGTACACAGGATTGCGTATACATTTAAGTACCTTATGTTTATCTGATTTATGTTTAGTAAGCTATTTAATATGGCTTTCATTTTCATAGTATAGTACATTGCAGAAATATCAGCAAGAAGATAAAAACGGAACTTTAATTTCACTTCTCTGTAAAAAAAAAGGGGGGGGCTTCTCTTGCTTGCTATACTCTCATCACACTGACTTTTAAAATTTAACTAAGTTTTGGAATTTCCTGTTAAATTCTAATTTGGGGATAAACGTGCAAGATAAAAATAATGTAGTGGTACTGTTAGTAGTAATGATAGTAGGAAAACAAAGAAGTGAAAGGTTTATATTTTTTGCTTCATGGAATAGACAGAATTTGTAGTCAATTTTCCCTGTTATGCAAACACTCCTATTTAAAAAAAATACATATTTTAAAAACATATCAGCAGAATTCAGGAGCAAGTGTACATAAAACTTCAGACCAATAGTGCCCTTTTAAAATAAAGCAGCATCATTTTACTTCATCTTGTGAATTTTTTCTCCTCAACATCCTAGATGACTAGAGTATTTTTTTGTTACTCCGTTCCCTCCCCTGTTCCTCAACTTGATTCTGCTGTGGCTTTGATTTTGCCAAACTCAGGATCTGTGGCTCTAAACAACTACGTGGAGAAGAGAGGAAATGAAACATGTTTAGAAAGGAGTTAGACTCCATCTCTCATTTAGGGATGTTAAAATGTGTGTAAAGTGATTAACGGTGTAGCTGCTAAAAATGTCAGAATTGATTGTTATATGCAGGGTAGTAGCTAGCTCCTCAGGAGCCAGTGTGCACTGGGAGCTGGCTTTTAGTTAGGTATGGTTATACTTTCACATGGACACGGTTACATGCAGGCTCCCGGTATGTGCAGGGAGCCGTCTTCCTCTCCTCTCCCCTCCCCTGCCGTATGTTTAATTTTCAGCAGTTATATGGTTACTTAAATGCATTTTAATATCCCTACTTTTAAGCCGGCTCCCCGCGTGTACGGGCTCCTGTCTGCCACCCCACGCTGCTGTCTCTGTATTAGAGGTAGCAGGATGGGGTGGTGGGCGGTCCCTGGGAGTTGGACCAGGAGCCTTGTGTAGCTAGCTGCTTGGGTAACGGATAAGCATGCTTCTCAGATTTCTTTTTCTTAAGTAATGGCCCCGTGCTACCAGCTCCTACCTCATACATTGTTCCATATGTGGCTTCCCATTTCCTACCTGCTTGGTGTTTGCCTGCTGCTTAGATCTTTTTCTGGTTCCTGTCCGTATCACATCCATTTATGGAAGTAGTCTCTTGATATTCAGGCCTGGCTCCTGTTTCCTCCTTCACTGTCTGAACTCCATATTCTTTTCTGTTACACTGCTGAAATAACTGTTGTTCCTGAGGACAGTGCCTGAGTAGAAACTGCTTTAAATGTTATACTAGGAAGGACAGGTGTGTGGTTCAGTTTAGAAATCTTCATGCTAATGGTTTGTGTCTCATTTTTATGTTAAAATTCAGGCGACTCAGTTTCAGCTTTCTTTTTGTTGACCTGACTGTGACTTCAAAGAAGGAAAACATAAGAATTTAGCAAACACAGAGATAATTTTCGAAATAATAAAGAGAAGGAACATGTTCATTGTTTGAAGCTAACTAATAGGTGACATGAAAGGTTTCATTAGCATCCATCCCTGGCTTCCAGGAACGATTAGTGTGGCTATCTTGGAATATATCTGTTGAAATGGTGGACTGGTTAAAGCCAGTCGGGAGCTGGAATTTGCTTTGTGTGGATGGATATAGGTCATCCAGACTACTGAGTTAAAGATTACTGGATCAGCATAACACAGAGAATGGATTCAATAACTGTATGTGGTGGCTAGCTCTTCTACATTACAGAGCTATTAGCTCCTGAAGGAAAATGCTGTTGAAAGAGAATACTTCCTGGACTAGTGATCTAGTTAAGGAAGCAAACATGTACTTGTTTGTTCTTCCTGTATTTAATTATCGACAGTGTTGTGTGTGCTTGTTTATTTTGTTTTTATAACTACTGTTGAAAGCCTGGTGGTTGTTTTCCGTGCCTGTAAGTATTTAGTCCATTATTTTGTTAGCTATGTTACTAACCCTATTTACTTTTTTTCTTTCCCTTAGTTAGTGGAAAGAGAAGAGAATTCTGTCTTATCTGGCAGCCTCTGAAATGGGCTATTAAACATCTTACTGTGAACTCAGAGTTTAACAGTTATACCAGGAAAAAAGGGTTCATACAGTGACTACTATTCTGTTTTGGGTTAGTGTCCAAAAGAGAATTCTCCCTGTTTGTTGTGTTTAGCTAATAGGTTATTATTGATGATGATGATCCTGGTATTAGGCGTTTTTAATCAGATTTTTGCAAGGTCTGAATTCCTGTATAGCATGGGCTTGAGGAATAGAATCGTTATATGATAGCTAATTGATTTTGTTTTTGAAATATAACTGTATTTTTTTACGTTATTTTCCCATGTGCACATGATATTTTGAGACTTGCAGGCATTTCAATAAGTCAATTTCATACTGCTGACAGTAGTAATCAGCAACTAGGGCCTGTCTATGGTGCCTCAGTTCAGACTGAGGCCAGGTCTACACTAAAAGGGAATATTGAATCAAGATACGCAATTCCAGCTACTCAATATACTTTGTTTTGAGTTTCCCTGCCCTCTCCACAGTGATGGAAGACAGTCAGGCATATGTTTCCAGAAGTACTCAGTAGAAAAGAGATGTGTCTGAGGGCCTGCCATCTCTTAAGATATCAAGACCACTCTGATGCAGGTCTTCTAGTGAGTTATTCTTTGAGGTGAAATTGCTTATTGTGACTTAAGTTATGTATTTGTACATCAAGACGTCAGTAAGTTATTAATATAGCAAAAGTAGTATAATTGAGTGCTGGTATGAAGTAGCTGTTGGTTGCATGTCTCCTTTCTTCTGTACCTGTTTCTACTCACTTGAACAACGGTTGTCTTTAGGACTTCACTATCTTCAGAGTCTATAACATTTATTCTCCAAAATGCTCAAGTACTGCTGTGTGGGCAGTGGGGAAATTCTACTATGATTAGATTGAGGGTGGAGAAGAGTTGGCACAGAATGATAAAGCTGCACAAGGAGAGAGAATGTTTGAACTTTCTGTTCAGGATCTGTTACTTGCTTTATAGTATTGTTCAAGTCACTTAGGGTTTGTCTACATTTATAGTCCCACAACGACACAATTGCAGCAGTTATGAAGATGCTATCTATACCCACAAGAGAGCTTCTCCCATTGACATAGGTATTTCAGCTTCCCAAGAGGCAGTAGCTGTATTGATCATAGAAGCTCTACCATCAACATAGCGCTGTCTACCTTGGGAGTTAGTTTAGGTTGCTTTTGGGTATTCTGCACCCCTGAGCAACAAAGTAGTTACACTGATGTAAATTTGTAGTGTAGAACCAGGCTTAATCTCTTAAAACTTCCCTCTGTACAAAATGGTGATAAAACAACATTGCCTTTCTGGGTAATGTTCATGACCTTGAAGAGGTAGAGTACTGTGGGTCTTTTGTTAAATAGCTTGACACTAGGAGACAATGATTCCATTAAATTTTTAACCTTTCCCATATTAGGTGCTGTTAAATTATAGAGATGCCAGTTGTGGATCCACATTTTAAGATTGTGTTGAGTTCTGTATTTGTAGCAGTCTGAATCCCTGCTTTATTATGCATCTTCCCTAAATTTATAGAATATTTTGAGTACTTATGAATTTTCTTAACTCGATTTACCAATTAAACATTGTTTAACCAGTTAACCAATTAAATGGGATTTCACATCCCTATTGCAAACCCAGTACAGTTAAAAAATTAATGTTAAATAAGTATTTTAAAAAATTTAATATTGGTCCTTTTTTGTCTTGAATGGTGGAATTAATAGAATAACAATGGCAACTTTTAATGTAGTTACAACAGAAATGTTGTAGTCTTAGATTATATTTGAAGAAATTAGTTAGGTTCTCAGGATGTCACACATTGGTTATCCAAAGTCACTCTTTAAAATCTTGGCTCTGATTTCTCAAGAATTTAAAACATAATTTCCCTCTGAGTAATATTAGTATCAATGTATGAAAATTTCCAAAGCAATTGATGCAGTTAATTTCTGTGATAGTATCTCGTGCTTATTATTGCAAGAATGTTAAACAGTGGTATTTGGCATATATGCTGCTATATCTATATGCAACAATGGAGATGGAATATTGGTTTCTAATGGTCTCAGTGATTAAAAGCTTGTGCTCATGGGAAAACCTTTTTTGGATGCCAGAGCTGTATGAAAGTGTAAACTGCAAGATCAGGATCAAACTGATGATACCCCATTTAATTCTTTTGTTTTCGGATTGTTTCCATTAAATGGTGTAACATTTGGGAATTAATGAACTAATATGTACCTAGTTTCATAATTGATATGTCAGACACAGATGAATTCTTCTGACAACAGCCACTAACTCTGTGGATGGAATTTGAAAGACAGTGTCGTTTGTGTTTGTGTTTTTGTGTTTGTTTTTTAAGATAGTAATTATATTCTGGAATGGATAATCTTTTGATTTTAAGTCTTATAATATGGATGACAGTTGGGATGAACCTGCGTTGACTGTTACATTGGCTTGCTTGCTTGAGAATTTGTTTTAATTATTATTATTTTTTTTTAAGCTCTTCTCTCTCATGGAGATGAAACCACCTATTTCCCGAGCAAAGATGATTCTCATTACTAAAGCTGCCATTAAAGCGATTAAGGTAAAGAAAAATGGAAATAGAGCACAAATTCAGACTATAATGGCAGCTCTATTTTTGGATTAGACTTGGATTTCTTTTTAAAAAAGCATATATTTTACATGAATTCTAAACTTATGGCTTGATAAAGATTTCCTTTATTTGATTTTAGAGTATTTTCCAAAAGAAAGTAGATGAACATTCCTTATCTTGAGTTGTGCTGCTAGTACAGAGGTGGGCAGTTTTTGCCCATGGGCCACTTCAAAAATTGTAGAAGTAGCCCTGTGTCACCCCAGAAGGGGTGGGGCCTAAATGGGTCGGGATGTGGGCTCCCCCACCCCCAGACTGATTGGTCTGGGGGTGGGGGAGCCCCTTTGTACCCCTTTCCCTGTAGGCATCCATGCCCTGGAAGAGGCTTGGCACACTCCCCCACCCCCCGGGCTAATCGGGGCGTGGGAGCGCACAAAGCCTTCTCTGCTCTCCCTCTCCCTCCCCCCTCCGAGCAACACATGGCACTTCGAAGCGCCATGCCCTATTCACAGGGTGGGGGCAGAGCGGAGAAGGCTTTGGGTGCTCCCCTAATCCCAGGCCCTGATTGGCATGGGGGTGGGGGAGCAACTGAGCCTCTGTGGGACGGATTCAGCCCGCAGAGGCCCTTTTGCCCACCCCTGTGCTAGTACCTCTGCAAAACCAACACCAACTTGCTTTTAAGAAAATTTCATTTTCTGGTGCTATCATTTACTTTATTATTATTATTATTTGTACCTGATAAAATCAAAATGTTGTTGTTGCATGTAACTACATCACATTGCATCAAATGTAACACTTTTTTTTAAAGAAAGGAAAAAATAGTTGTTGCAATAGTACTGCTTTCATGTCATTTATGTGTGTGATGTAATACATGCCTCCAATTGTAAGGTGAGCTTTCTTCATGCGAACTTTTAAAGGAATGTTTGAGACAAGGAACATGACTTGTCCCCTTCTAGTAGTGACTAGAATATATTTGTTAATATGTACAAAGAATTAAAATATTTCTGAAATCATACATTTCTGTAAATCAGATGATGTTTTAATCGATTACATATCTCTCTTCCAGCTCTACAAGCATGTAGTCCAGATAGTAGAGAAGTTTATCAAAAAGGTAAATGCTTTTATAGTATTTTTAATATTTACTACTGGGTTACTGGGCTCTTAACCATCCACAGTTCTATAAATGTTTTTTAATTAACTAGTAATACTACAAGTATTACCTAAGGTTGGTTACTATACTGAAAAAAATCTAGTTTTAGGACTTCAGCATTTTTTTCCTTTGTGCATTTGACAGCAGTTTGTTTTCATCAGTCATTTCCCTCTGTTCACAAGTCTTTCACAGCAACAGAAGATGGAAAAACTGATTGTAAAACCACAGAAATTCAGAGAAATTCAGGATAGAGTGCTTGAAACTCAGATTCTTCTAATTTTCCAAGTTGATTGTGTCTCTTTACTATCAATGTTATAATTGATGTTTCCAGAAAATTTAAGTTACACACCTTGGTGCCAGGAAACTTGGAAAAATAGGTTAAATACGTCCCCATCCACAAAAGTAGACCAACAAGCAGATTAAGTTCTGTTAGACAAACTGGAAGAAATAGAAGTATATGTTAAAAGGAAAAGGGGCAATGTCAGAATGATAAAACTTTATTTTCAAGCATCTAATTAATGCTACATTCGTGAAAGACTGAAAAGTGAGAGAGAACCAACCTGGTGCCGCAGTAGTAACCTATATTGGAAAATAAGAGTTGTGTTCCTCTTACCAATCCTTGCTTCTTAAGGAGGCAGAGAAGACAGTGAATCTTTACTACATAAAGGCATATAAGCTAGGGATGTAAGCGACTAGTTGACTATTCCCTCCCCCCCCTCCCCCGCTGCCTCTATCAGAAAGAGGCAGCAAGCAGGGGGTGGGAGGGGGAGATGAAGAGGGAGGTGCTAGGGGGAGCCAGTTCCTGCACAGCTCCAGCTCCGTGGGAGGGGGCAGGGGTGCAGCAGCAGTGTTCTACCTTTGAAATGTATCAACAGCCGGGCCAGCTCTTGCTGCATTTCAAAGCAGAAGTGCCCATATCGACTAATCGAATAGTTGATGGGAATTCCATCGACTGTTCGATTAGTTTATTAATATAATTTTAACATCCCTAATACAAGCTTCTTCTTTTTTCTTTCCTGCATAGGTTCCAAAGTGTCTCTTCTCCCACTCCCCCAATTAATTTTAGTTCAAGAAACATTACAGGACACAGTGCTTATGAAATGGACATCCTCTCTTTTGCATTCTTGATTTCTGCATTTACTCAATTTGCATTTCACAGTACCTACTGTTTGTGGTCCTCCTCCAAGTTATTCTATCATTTTGTATTAAATACACCATAACTAGCTTTTTGCATTGTTAAGATTAATATTTCATGCACTATCTTAACTCATTTCAGTCCCAATATTCTCCCCCTTAAATTAATTCGTATAAAGTTGATTTGAATAGGAACACTTCTGCAGCATTATGTGTATAAATAGGCTTGCTGCAGTGTTTGTTTCATGCCAGTGCTTTTACTCAAGTTTAAATTGTATTACTATGCCAGTCTTTCTCAAAGATAAATATGGGTATGTCTACACTACCCCCCTAGTTCGAACTAGGGGGGTAATGTATGCATACCGAACTTGCTAATGAAGCCCGGGATTTGAATTTCCCGGGCTTTATTAGCATAAAGCCGGCTCCGCCATTTTTAAAAGCCGGCTTGTTCGAACCCCGTGCCGCGCGGCTACACGCGGCACGGGCTAGATAGTTCGAACTATGTAGCCATTCCGATCTATCTGTACGCCTCGTTGAATTCCAGTTTTCTATTGGGCCTGCAGGAAAATCTCAAGTATGAGGTGCAGGTCGCTTGAAGAGATTCCAAAACCTGTTAGAGAACTGTTATATAAGAGGATTACCCTGTTAGTACTACATACGGTAATCTGCAATAACTGGGAAAAATCTGTGGTTTTTTTTTTTTTTTTTTTTTTTTTCTTCAGTGCAAACCGGAATATAAAGTCCCTGGATTATATGTTATTGACTCTATTGTTCGTCAGTCTCGTCACCAATTTGGAACAGACAAAGATGTTTTTGGGCCAAGATTCTCTAAAAATATAACTGCCACATTCCAGTATTTATATCTCTGTCCATCTGAAGACAAGGTATCGCTACAACTTCTTGAATGCTGTGATTTACTGAATTATTATTTGTGTTCCTGCTTATATGAAATGACTTGGCTGTAATGCCATGGTTGTTTGTGTGTGTGTGCTCGCAATACTTCAGTGGAGGTCCTGGTGATGAAAATTCTTTAACTTACTCTCTGTTCTTTGTGTTCATGCCTTTGTCCAATTTGAGACCATACCAAAAATATTTCGTTTTCAGGGATCCTTCTGATGAAGGACTTGTTGCAATTTAGTGGACTGGTAGTTGAACTAAATAGTCCTTCTCTCTTCCCCCCACACCCCTCCCCCCTCCACCACAACCTCAGAACTTTTTCTTTTCGCTTCCTTTCGCTCTCTTATTGTAAGACTTTCCCACTTCACTTCTGCATTTTAGTGTCTCTCTCTCCTTTTTTTTATTCTTCTCTGCCTTCCCCTTTTGGGATTCTTCCAAAGTTTGCATCAGACTCACCTGAACGGTTATGTGAGTGGGTGCAACACTTAATTGTCTGTCACTGCTATTCTTTTTAATTGCCAGAGTAATTTGCTGCGGAGTGGCACAAGCTCTCTTAGGGTGTCTAGACTACATCCCTCTATCGGCAGAGGGATATAAATGAAGCACTTCGAAAGTGCAAATGAAGCCATGATTTAAATATCCCATGCTTCATTTGCATAATTGCGTAATGGCTCTCTTTCGAAAATGGAGCACTTTTTCGAAGGATCCTGTAAACCCATCTAGACTGCAGTTTTTCGAAATAGCGCTTTTTTGAAAGAGCGCCATTACGTAATTATGCAAATGAAGCATGGGATATTTAAATCATGGCTTCATTTGCACTTTCCAAATGCTTCATTTACATCCCTCTGCCAACAGAGGGATGTAGTCTAGATGTAGACTTACTGTATCTAAAAAAAGAAAAAGAAAAAGAAAAAAAAAAAAGTTTTGTAGTGTGGATCCTGCTAATCCATGCAACAAGGGATCAGGTTTTGTCAAAAAACTTGACTGAACCAGTGAACATTTCTTTTCATGTGCAAGAGCTGAATTTAGAGCTTATGTGTTAAGAATATTTTTTTGTTGTTGTATATTAACATTTTCTGTTGTTTGAACAGAGTAAGATAGTTCGTGTCCTGAACCTCTGGCAGAAAAATGGAGTGTTTAAAATAGAAATCATTCAGCCTCTCCTGGATATGGCAGCGGGAACAAGTAGTGCAGTTCCAATGACAGAGAATGCTACAAATAATGAAGGTATAGATGTCAGGACAACTTTTAATTTATAAATTATGAGGAACCCAATCACTTGTTAGTATTTGTTACAGTAAAGTAAAGTTCTTCATGTTTATTAACCAAGTTCCTTAGCACATTTCTTAAAATTCACTTTTATCATAGAAGTTGGTTAGAAGATTCTGAACTCAATCTGAAGAAATGTTGGTGCTGTATTTTTATTAGGGATGTTAAAATGTGTTTGTTAAAGTAAATGTGTAACTGAAAATTTTAATGGTTCCACATGTGGGCGGCATTCAGCTCAGCTGCTCCCCCACCTGCACTGCTGCTTCTGACACTTATTTTGGTAGGTAAACTTACATTTTCAGCTCTAAAAAATTGTTATACTATACATGGAACAGTGGGTCAAAGTTTCACTCATTGGATTCATTGGGGTCAAGTATTTGTAGTTCCTGTCATTGAATATAGAGCATGCAGGTGCTTGGTAGTAAATGGGATATCTAAAGGAACATTAGAGCATGTTGTCAGGGCTGGTTCACAGTGGTATAAACTAGAATATAAATGCACTGATTTGGCTGAATTTGATGTACATCAGCATTTCTTTTGAGGGGGTAGCTAAATTTACGAAGTGATGAATATTACCTCTTCATTGGAAGGCAGAATATTTTATATTACATATATGGACTGTTAGTACCTTAAGCCACAGTCAACGGGTTTTGAATGTTGTAATTCTCTTGCAGGTTCACCACCCCCTCCAGCAAAGGTGCCATCTGAGCCCACCCAAGTCACTGCTAATTCAGTACCTACTGTGTCACAGTTGCCTAGTTCTGATGCCTTTGCTGCTGTAGCTCAATTATTTCAGACAACACAAGGACAACAGGTAAGCTACGTATATTTCAGTTGTAATTGCAATTTTAATTTCCACACACTTCACCTAACTAACTTAGAGCAATTGTTTTTACAGCCTTGATACAAAATCTGTAATACTATATACAACTCTTGTCCCCTCTCTCAAATAAAACCCTTGAAATACAGAATTTAAAAGTTTAAACTAACTTATTAGAACATTTTATAATGATTATGAATAAAACATCCAGTAATTACAGGTTTTTTGGAAAAGTCACTGATGCATTCCAATAACCTATACTGTTAAAGTGTCAAAGTATAGAGGACTAATTACATCAATAATGAAAAGTGCATTACACTTACTACCAGAAACCCTTTCTTTGTTATCTTTCACTTAGCTCTGTTCATCAAACAATTGCAGTGAGCAAGATAACTCAATTTTCCATTGCTAATGAAGCACTAGAACAGTGGTCCTCAACCTTTTGAGGCTGCCAGGAGCGGGGCCACTCACACGCTGGGCACCCTGGCCCGGTGCCGGCCCTGTGCCGCACTCCTGGGCCCGGCACCGGCCCTGTGCCGCACGCCCAGGGGCCGGCACCACCCATACGCCGCACGCCCAGGGGCCGGAACAGCCTTCCAAGTCCTGCCAAGGGGAGGCACTTGCTGCTTGACTCCCAAGGCAGTCTGTATGTCCAATCTTCTTTCCAATGAGCTCACTTCACAGGTATTGTCTTGGATCTGGCACCCTTGCAACTGCTGCTGGAGGTGCTCACATTTCATTCTCCATTCACACCTCATTCACACCTCATTCATTTGAACAGGACAATCAAGGAAAGGGGAGAGATCTATTCTACTCCTAGCAAAAGACATTTTTCTTTACCTTAACTATTCCTAAGACCTATAACATAAAGAGCTTGATACAAAGTTTCTGTGGAAAAGACTGGATGCAAGGTTTCTCTTAATACAAGGGATTCTATAAAAAGGCTTAACATAAAGATATATCTAAAGGACAAGATATCTATATATAAAAGGACTTACAGAGTTTCTCTTAATACAAAGTTATATGAGAATGATACGTGGTTATATGGAAATGTTACAGAGATTTATCCACATCCTATGGGGGAGGGATAGCTCAGTGGTTTGAGCATTGGCCTACTAACCCCAGGGTTGTGAGTTCAATACTTGAGGGGGCCATTTAGGGAGCTGGGGCAAATCTTTCAGGGATGGTACTTGGTCCTGCTGTGAGGGCAGAGGACTGGACTCAATGACCTCTCAAGGTCCCTTCCAGTTCTATGGGATAGGTATATCTCCTTCTGCATCCTCGTGACTTCCCATGCAACACATCCATTGCTGGTACCAATCCAATCTAACTATCAAGAGCAAATGAGTGCTATAACTGCACACAAGTAAGCTCACCTCCTCTTAAGACTAACCACCTGCCTAGTATACATTTTTATATCTGTTTCACAAATAGTGTATAACTTTTTCTATTAACAAGAGTTAAAATATTTTTGAAATTGAAAAAAATCTAATTTTGATATAATATCTATTCTCTTTAAGCTTCAGCAGATTCTTCAGACTTTTCAGCAACCTCCAAAACCCCAGTCTCCAGTCATAGATAATACTGTTATGGCTCAGGTTCAGGCTATTACTGCTCAGTTGAAGACTACAACAACACAACCACCAGAACAAAAAGCTGCTTTCCCACCTGAGCAAAAAACGTCTTTTGATAAGGTAAGTCCTGTATTGTCCTTTGCATTCATAAGGATCATTTAAACATGGTAACTCTAATAGAAAGATGGACATACAAGATTTCTAAGTTCACATTTGAGTGTCAGTGCATGCCCCCCGTTTTGGGCTGTGCCTTATACACTTCCCCAGAGCCAAGGATTCTCTGAAAAATCTCTGGTTATTGGGCCCATGTTGACTTCACCTTGAGCTCTGAAATATTCCAGGTGATGTTTTGTGTGAACTGCCCCAGATATCTTGACTTCCTTCCAAGTCTGACTAGTTTCCTTTTTTTTCTATATTAAGGATAACTTTTTGTTTTAAAAAACTGAATAAAACTGGTTTTTAACAGTTAGATCTAGTCCTTTAAGTAAACTTTTTAAATTTTTCTTTGCTCCTTGATTAAATATAATCTTTCACCTTACAATAGATTTTAGCAACTTTGAAGTAAGACATTTTATATCCTTAATGTAATAGAAATATTTTAGTTGCTCATTATAAAACTGTGTTTCTCAACCAGTGGTATGAGTACCCTAGGGGGTACACTAATTCCTCATTTAACACTACAGATATGTTTCAGAAAATGATCGTGTTAAGTGAAAATGTGTTATGCGGGATCAGTTTTCCCATTGAAAATAATGGAAAAGGTGGGGGGTTTCAGGCAGTGGTGTCTGTTGGGACTGGGACATAAGGTTGGGGGAGAAAGGGGACTGGGTTACAGCAGGGAGGGGAGGTGTTTGGCTCTGGGGAATGGGAGGGGAGGAGAGGGGAAGGGAGGGGAATTGAGTTGGGAGCATGTCCCTGTGACGGGTCTGCTGGGACTCGCACTGCGTCTGGCGAAGGGTGGGGTCACCAGGGAATGGCGTGGCGAGCGGCGAACCCTCCACTGCTTTCCAGGGAGGCAGGGGAAGCCCTGCGCAGCTGCCGGCAATGGACTAGCTGAGGAAACCCAGCCGCAGGCCTGCAAGCGGGAGCGGAGGAGAGGTGGCAAGGCGTCTGGCGAGGGGGAGTCAGCGGGGAACGGCACGGCGAGTGGCGAACCCTCCGCCGCTTTGTAGGGAGGCAGGGGAAGCCCTGTGCAGCCGCCAGCAACGGGCTGGCTGGGAAAATCATGTTATTCCGGGGTCAGTCGTGTAATTAAAAAAAGTTCCCGAAAAAAAAATCGTGCTATTGCAAAAACATGTTAAGCGGGCACGTGTTAAATGAGGAATTACTGTACTTGAGAGAAGTCTGATGGGTACATCAACACAACTGAAATATGGAGAAAACTGAATTTTTGTTTTAAGTTTTACAGTGCTTTATTATTTTTGTTCTTTTTACACCCAAAAATTTCATCTCCCACCCTGCTACAGTAAAGTTGTTTAAACAAATGTGTTGCAATGGTAGGAAAAAATGTAGTGTGTCTGAAAATTGTAGGTACCGGGGGAACTTTTAATTTTTTTTAAAAGGGGTACCTTATAAAAAAAAGGTTGAGAAACAGTGCTATAAAATATTGAGGAGAACAAAGTTGCTAATTGTAACTTTTGTCAGAAGCTGCTAGATCGATTCGACTATGATGATGAGCCAGAAGCAGTAGAAGACTCAAAGAAAGAGGATTCAACTCAGTCTCCTTCCATTTCTCAACCACCATTGTAAGCTCTGTGATGCATACTAAAATCAAACTAAAATTAATATCAATACAAAAAAGTTTCAATTAAAATTCTAGATTATGGAAATACAGAAGTAGAATCTACATTTAGATACTGATAATTGTTGTGCTACATTATTTTTGTTTAAATGGCACCATATTGGGGGTGTTAAATTGAGGTTATTTTAAAAATCGAGCAGTTGACAGAATTTTTATCGACTACTTGATTAATCAATAGGGGCAGGCAGGCAGGCAAGCCGGTTCAGTCCCTGCTCACGATGGGTAGGGAACCAAACCTCATTGTGGCTCTTCAATTTAGAAGGCAGTAGGAGTCAGGGGGCAGGCTGCCTGGCTCCTACTGCCTTTTAAATTGCAGCAGGGTTTGGTTCTGGTACAAGCTGGGACTGAGTAGTGCTGCCTGACCAGCTGGTGGCAGCCCCTGTCCCGCTGCTACCCCCTGCGGCCCAGGGCTGCTGTCAAAACAGCCTCCCCTATCTCCCTCTCTCTAAAATAGAGGCATTAAGGGTGGGGGAAGAATGTGAGTAGTCAACTTGACTAGCTTATTGGGTAGTCAACTAATCGACTATTCTCTTACATCTCTACACTGTATGGCTGTGTCTACATTGGCTCCTATTCCGTAATAGGGATGCTAATGTAACACTTTGGAATAGGCAAATCTGCGGGGGATTTAAATATCCCCCGCGGAATTTGCATTAACATGGCTGCCGCTTTTTTCCGGCTTGTAGATAAGCCTGAGAAGAGCGCCAGTCTGGACGCGATCCTCCGGAAAATAAGCTCTTTTCCGGAGGATCTCTTATTCCTACTTATTCCATTTTTTCCTACCATTGCAACACATTTGTTTAAACAACTTAACTGTAGCAGGGCGGGCGATTACATTTTTGGGTGTAAAAAGAACAAAAATAATAAAGCGCTGTAAAACTTAAAACAAAAAGTAGGAATAAGAGATCCTCCGGAAAAGAGCTTATTTTCCGGAGGATCGCGTCCAGACTGGCGCTTTTCTCTGGCTTATCTACAAGCCGGAAAAAAGCGGCAGCCATGTTAATGCAAATGCCGTGGGGGATATTTAAATCCCCCGCAGATTTGCCTATTCCAAAGTGCTACATTAGCATCCCTATTACGGAATAGGGGCCAATGTAGACACAGCCTATAAGAGTTTGGCATGTCACAGAATTGGGTGAAAAGTCTGTTCTGTAGGTTATCTAATAGCTCTTCTAGTTATGGGTGCAAACTTTCAGTTTTGAAATGTTTTTTTTTAAACTGGATATTTAAGGCATTTTGTTAGTAAAAATAACTTGACCGCTTTGCTGGCTATGGAAAAAACAATTGTTTAAAAAAAAAGTTGGGAATCTTAAGCACTCAGTCAAGTGCATCCTTAATTCATGTGCCGTCTCAATTTAGTCCTTTGTGCATATGCATTGTGGTAGTCTTTAATTACGTGATTACGTATTTTTTCCTCATTCAGAGCACAGACTGGATGTTGCTAAAATAATGGGTAGTTATTAAGCAGCTAAAAAGAAATATTTAATGTGTGTCCTCATGTCTGTCTTGTCTCAAATTATGCAATGAGTGCAGAACTGTTAATTTCCTAATGAGTTATTTTTATGGTGCTTGTCTCCATAGCATCTGAAATGTTTCACAAATAATAATGGATTTCCCTTTACAACACCTTTAAGTAAATTGATGATAGTATCCCCATTTTACAGGTGGGAACTTAAGATCAAAATATCCACTAATTTTGGGTGTACTATTTAGGGACCTGGTGGGCCTGATTTTTTTTTTCAGCGCACTTAATGTATTTATAGCACATTAGATGTTTAAAACAGAACTCCCGCTGCCTTTGGTTCTAGTTGAATGTATAGCATTTCTGAAAATGAAGCTCTAGCTATCTCATGTTGAGCAGACAGAAAATGTGGGCCTCGCACTGAGAAGTTTGGTTTGAATAACTTGTCCTGCATCACGCAGGAAATCTGGAAGAGTAATGGCTTGAGTCAGAGTCATGACTTCAGTCCAGTTTTTCACAGTTCCATTCACTATGCATCTTCTAGCATCTGCAACAAGAGACACAAGGGTACTATTAACACCCTCATTCACTATGCAAATCTGCTTAATTTTCTGAGCACTGTTTTGTGCACTGAATAAGGCATCAAAAGGGACTTACCTGATTCCAGTATGACACACATCCCTCTTCCCTTCTTAGCCTCTCTTGGCCAAATTTCAAGGCCTGTTCCAAATAAGGATGTTGGCGTGTAGTCGTTTGAATGATTAACTAATAAGCCTGGGCTTATTGTTTAACCCTAACGACTACATGCACACACATGCCCCTGCTGCAAGGGGCAGGAGGCCGAGAGCCGGCTTTCAAGCAGGCTCCCTGTGAGTACTGGCTCCCCTGGAGCTTTCCTCTTCTTCCCCTCTTGCCCCCCAGCCACCTCTGATAAGAGTTTCTCAACAAAACGTTTGTAAGATTTGTTTAAATATGAACAAAATGTTTCTCTAACCTCATTCTCAAACATCTGAGCCTTTTTTGCTGAAGCCTGGGTGACTAAGCCTGGAACATGAAAAATATCAGCCTGAATGATTAACATTTGGCAAAGTTATCATTGGAAATAGGATCTTATAATGCAAAGTTTGGTAGCCTTAACTAAAGAAATCACTTTAAGCACTACCTGTAATTTCATGATTGATTTGTATGGAGTATTCAGCTAAATTGTTATCTAAATTTGAGGCGGCAATGAGATTTTTAATGGTTACATATTAATGTTGCCTTGCTGCTGCAGCATAATTATCTGTTGTTTAGTGGATTTCCAGGAGAAGGTATGCAACCACCAGTATATCCACAGCTCCCAAATATAGATCCATTTCAACCACGGCTGATGGGAATGCAGCAAGATCCAATGCACCACCAGGTAGCTTTGAATTATTTTTGAGATTTGTTTCCTTTGTGAAATTTGTGACATTCTAAATATGGCATCGTTTAACATTTTTGATGCATGGAATTGGAAGGAAATCTGTTAAATATGAATAACATTTGTGTACACCACTAGTTATGATAAACATCTTACACGCATCCATAATTTTAATATGTCGTCCCATTGACTCCAATTGCAGTACTTACATATGTGTAAAGAAACATTTTTGCAGCATCAGAAACTTGTGATTACCCTGAAGTAGAAGATGTTTAACATGCAATCACAGTGCAACCTAGTTCTAAGGTATTTTACATATTGTAGTATGTCATCACATACAGAATTTTCATTTGAGCTTTGAAAGGGGCCATATGGCTAGGGAAATATATTTTCCTCTATTTATATAATAAATACAGCTATACACATAGCTAACGTGTATATGTGCTTTTTTTCTTACAAAACTTGCAATGCTGCTCTGAGCAAAATGTGTAGCTTTCCATTAATCAAAGCAAACTTATTATTATTGTTGAAGTAGTTTGTTCAGTGAAACTGAAAATGTATGTTTCCCCTTCCCCCTACAGGTCCCACTACCTCCTAATGGACAAATGCCAGGTTTTGGACTTCTACCAACTCCCCAGTTTCCTCCCATGACTCAGCCTGTGATACCAGCAACACCACCAGTACAGCAAACTTTCCAGTCTCCTTTCCCAGTACAGAGTGAACCACACATACAGAAAACACATCAGCAGGTGAGGACTCATGCCATCCATTGCAACTTTAGGCTCCTAGTGCTTTGCTTGCTAGTACTTTTAATCTGTCAGACTATTGATGATAATCATGCCCACAGACACTTATGGAGGCAGCTCACTTGATAGTTTAGGTGCCAGAGAACTTCAATAGACCCTTCCACAAGAGTTCTGCCTCTGTAGCAGAAGCAACACTTAATTTTTTCCAGCTTCAATTTGGAAAAAGCCTTGGATTTGGATCTTGTAGCCAATCAGTTAACCTCTTCTCATCTCTCCCTCTTCCCCCATGAAGCTGGAAGAATATTCTCTCTCCTAAAAGTCTTTGCATCAGTATCAGGCTGACTGATCTTGGAGGTAACCTATATAATGGAACTCAATTGAAAGATAACAAGGTATTTGAAATAGATGTGGGATCCAAACATTCCAAGAAATATCCCCTAAAATGAAAAATAACAGGAAAGGGAAAGTTCCTTTATTTCAGAGTTGTTGGAGGATATTGTGGATTTAAAGTGATTATCTCCTTCTAAACATTGGTCAGTGAGTTAATTCTCACTTCATATAACTTGTGTGTATTATAATCTGCATAGTCATCTCCAGGGCTTTCCTTTCTTTTATTAAAGCTAATAAATCATCCAGACATAGATCCCAATCCCATGATTACAAAAAAGAGGGTCTGTAATTAGGAATATAAAAAGTGCATGGGGAAGGGGGAGAGGGGCGGGGTTTGTAAATGTGTAACTGCTGAAATTTTCCCATGTAGTTGTGTCCCGCTCCCCTTCCTCTCTCTCCCCCCCCCCCCCCCCCCCCATGCTGCTGCTGCCTCAATCCAAGGCAGCAGCGTGGCAGAGTGGGCTAGAGCAGCTTTTAAGATGACTTCCCATGAGCACCGGCTCCCACAGAGCTGCCCCTCTCCTCCCTCCTCTGCTGCCTCTGTATCAGAGGCAGCAGCATGTGGGGGCACCTTGCACATGACCATGAAAGTTAACCTATGAGCCCTGGCTTATCAGCTAACTGGTTTACTATGTACACTATCACATCCCTATCTGTAACCCATATCAAGTTTTCTCCATTTATGATGCAGCTTGTGATGCTATAAGACTTTCTTTTATGCTCTTCATTCTGTTCCACAATAATCGGGGTATATACTCAATTGCGGGACAGGTTCTGAAAACATCATATATCTAATTAAGGCTCCCTTTATAATCACAAAAAGTTAATTGTTGAGGCCTTTAACATGAACACATTTCTGTACATAAAGACAAAATGATGGCTTTCTTCAGGCTAAGAACATTATGGAGTACTGGTAATTGCTAGAAACGATCCTTTTTTCTGCTCTAGAGAAAGAGTTCTTGTTAGTATCCATTGAGCAATGAGAGTATTGATTCTCACTCTGCCTCTGTATCAGGACCAATTTCAGAAAGTTTCTTCTGTCAGCTTGGGCTAAATTCACTTGGGGACCCAATTATGTTTTGGACATTGTGCAATATGACTACCTAATTTTTATCCCTTCTATCCAAACTTCATATCCCTAATTTGCTTCTCTTCAGCCCAAGCAAATGGTCAGTTCTTTAGGACTTGGTTCATCATGATCTGTCTCTATAGGCAATTTCACCTGCCCTATCCCTGAAGAGGCAGACTGGTATGTGATTTGCCGGGGCTCCCAAAAATAATTGTGTGTCAGTCCTAATCCTGGTCATGTTTCGTATAAATCGAGTGGGCAATAATTTTTTTGATGAGAGGCCACTCCGAGATTTTGTGAAGTGGTCGAGGGCTGCACTCTTCCATGATATTAATGGAGATGCAGAGTCTGGAATGGAGGTTGAGTGCAGAAGGGAGCTTGGGATAAGGAACTCTGCTGATCATTTTATTTGTTTCTGGTACCCATAATAGGGATTTAAATATCAGTCAATGTACTTAACTTGTTAAAAGATTTAAATTATATCGTTTAAATGGTTATCTATTGGTGGAGCAGCACAGAGCAGCCAAGGCCGTGGTCCCATTGGGTCTTTCGGACAGACATGGTGGGGGCTGTTCCAGGCCAGCCTGCCCATCATGGCTGCAGCTGTGGCCAGGGGTTCACCTACCCACTGGGGCCAGGTCCCTACTGCCCCAGTGTAGCCAACAGTGCTTTGGCTTGGTGTGGTTGGCCATCCACTGGTGTTGGGGAAAGGTCCAGTTAACCGGTTACCCAATAAACACTTTGGCAAGCCTAAAGCTTATTGGGTAACTAGTTAACCTTTTACATCCCTAAATTGGATCTTTGCTGCTCCTGTAGTTCTGAGGAAGGAAGGTGACTTCATTCAGTTGGCCAGAGTAAATGCACATTATTTATTTATTTATTTATTTATTTTACTCTTGAAAATTCATGTTGTTCATGTGGCCGGAAACTATTAAGAGACTGGGTCTGTGTTTGCTTGATAATACTTCAGCTCCTATTTCACGGAAATGGCACCTTGCCCTCCTGGTAGATTTCTCTCACCAGAGACATGCTGATAGAAAAAGGAATATGTAGAGGATGATGGAAGATTGGGAGTCATGGGAAAAAGTGAGATGGGGTTATGCTCTCTGCTTTTGAATGAGGAGGGAGGAGAAAGTGCAGACCTCCAGGTCTTTTTTTTTTTGCATAAGTGAGCCTCATTAACATCCCCCTCTTAACTGGCTTGTTTGTGCTATCATCAGTGTATGAGGTGGAACAGTCCTCCTCCTATTCATCGCTTCTTCCTGTGGCTGAGTTTTCTCTTTTTAAGCTCACCTCTCCAGGCAGAACAAGCCTTGCAGGTGTGCTTCTTCTAGTGCTGAACAGGCTCAGAGTATCTTGTTAGTCTCTTTCCCACCAGAATGAAGGCATGTCTGTGCGCGCACACACGCGTGCACACACACTAATTTTCCAGAGTTTTAATCTTTTGGGGTACGTCTACACTACAACGTTAATTCGAATTAGTTAATTCGAACTAAGCTAATTCGAACTAACGGATCTAGACTAAAAAAATAGTTCGAATTAGCGTTTTGCTAATTCAAATTAGTATGTCCACATTAAGTGGACCCTGAACCAGGCTTAAGGATGGCTGGAAGCAGTGCCGGCAGGGCATCAGAGGAGGACTTAGAGCGTGGAGATGCTGTCTCAGGCTAGCAGAGGGCTGCGCTTAAAGGGTCCCGACCCCCACCCCGGACAGACAGTTCTCAGGGGTGCCCTGCTTGCAAAGCAGTCCTGGCTTGGAGTGCCCAGACTACCCACACTGGGCACATCACAGCACTCGGCCATCAGACCGGCTGCACTTGCCGCAGGCTGCCATTTGGGGAGAGGGGGCAATCGGGGGCTGCAGGAGAGGTTCCACCCCAAAAGCCCGCAGAGCCAGCCCAGTCCTCCCCATCGGGGGCGCGTACCCCATTCCTCCCTCACCTCCTTCCACTTACCCTTCCCTAGCCCCTTTTCTTGATGTATAAAATAAAGGACAAATGTGTTCAAAAATGGAATCTGTCTTTATTGAACAAAACTGGGGGAGACTGGGAAAAGGAGGTGGGAGAGGGGAAGAGAGAGGCTGGGAGAGGGGAGGGCAACTACAATGATCAGGGGGTTGGGAACAGGTCCCATATGAAGAGAGGCTAAAGAGACTGGGACTTCTCAGCTTAGAAAAGAGGAGACGGAGGGGGGACAGGATAGAGGTCTCTAAAAGCAGGAGTTGGGTGGAGAGGGTGCATACAGAAAAGTTCTTCATTAGTTCCCATAAAGAAGGACTAGAGGACACCAAAGGAAAGGAATGGGTAGCAGGCTTCAAACTAGTAACAGAAAGTTGTTCTTCACAAAGCAAAGAGTCAACCTGTGGAACTCCTTGCTGCAGGAGGCTGTGAAGGCTACAACTAGAACAGAGTTTAAAGGGAAGTGAGATCAAGTCATGGAGGTTGGGTCCATGGAGTGCTATTAGCCAGGGGGGAGAAATGGTGTCCCTGGCCTCTGTTTGTGGAAGGCTGGAGAAGGATGGCATGAGACAAATGGCTTGGTCATTGTCTTTGGTCCATCCCCTTCAGGGTACCTAGTGGTGGCCACTGTCGGAA